TATCTATCTATCTATCTATCTATCTATCTATCTATCTATCTATCTATATACACTTCTCAAAAAAAAGGAACACTTAAACAACACAATGTAACTCCAAGTCAATCACACTTCTGTGAAATCAAACTGTCCATTTAAGTAGCAACACTGATTGACAATCAATTTCACATGCTGTTGTGCAAATGGAATAGACAACAGGTGGAAAGCATAGGCAGTTAGCAAGACATCCCCAATAAAGGAGTGGTTCTGCAGGTGGTGACCACAGACCACTTCTCAGTTCCTATGCTTTCTGGCTGATGGTTTGGTCACTTTTGAATGCTGGCGGTGCTTTTACACTAGTGGTAGCATGTGACGGAGTCTACAACCCACACAAGTGGCTCAGGTAGTGCAGCTCATCCAGGATGGCATATCAATGCGAGCTGTGGCAAGAAGGTTTGCTGTGTCTGTCAGCGTAGTGTCCAGAGCATGGAAGTGCTACCAGGAGACAGGCCAGTACATCAGGAGACATGGAGGAGGCCGTAGAAGGGCAACAACCCAGCATCAGGACCGCTACCCCCGCTTTTGTGCAAGGAGGGACAGGAGGAGCACTGCCAGAGTCCTGCAAAATGACCTCCAGCGGGCCACAAATGTGCATGTGGCTGCTCAAACGGTCAGAAACAGACTCCATGAGGGCGGTATGAGGGCCCGATGTCTACAGGTGGGGGTTGTGCTTACAGCCCAACACTGCAGGACGTTTGGCATTTGCCAGAGAACACCAAGATTGGCAAATTCGCCACTGGCGCCCTGTGCTCTTCGCAGATGAAAGCAGGTTCACACTGGTTTGTCAGACGTGACAAGGTCTGGAGACGCCGAGGAGAATGTTCTGCTGCCTGTAACATCCTCCAGCTTGACCAGTTTGGCAGTGGGTCAGTAATGGTGTGGGGTGGCATTTCTTTAGGGGGCTGCACAGCCCTCTATGTGCTCGCCAGAGGTAGCTTGAGTGCCATTAGGTACTGAGATGAGATCCTCATACCCCTTGTGAGATCATATGCTGGTGCAGTTGGCCCTGGGTTCCTCCTAATGCAAGACAGTGCTAGACCTCATGTGGCTGGAGTGTGTCAGCAGTTCCTGCAAGACAAAGGCATTGATGCTATGGACTGGCCCTCCCGTTTCCCAGACCTGAATCCAATTGAGCACATCTGGGACATCATGTCTCGCTCCATCCACCAATGCCATGTTGCACCACAGACTGTCTAGGAATTGGGGGATGCTTTAGTCCAGGTGTGGGAGGAGATCCCTCAGGAGACCACCCGCCACCTCATCAGGAGCATGCCCAGGCATTGTAGGAAGGTCATACAGGCACGTGGAGGCCACACACACACTACTGAGCCTCATTTTGACTTGTTTTAAGGACATTACATCAAAGTTGGATCAGCCTGTAGTGTTTTTTTTCCACTTTAATTTTGAGTGTAACTCCAAATCCAGACCTCCATGGGTTGCTAAATTTGATTTCCATTGATCATTTTTGTGTGATTTTGTTGTCAGCACATTCAACTATGTAATGAACACAGTAATAAGAATATTTCATTCATTCAGATCTAGGATGTCTTATTTTTGTGTTCCCTTTATTTTTTTGAGCAGTGTATATACACACACACAAACACACACACACACACACACACATATGAATGATGTAATTTTATTAGTGATTTTATTCTAAAATTCATAATCATGTAACCACATTTAATGCTTTTCTGCTAGATTTACTACCAGGGTATTTTCTGCATAACAATCTTCAATTTTTTCTTACTGTTAATGAAGCTGGTATTTGAAGATGCTACAGTGCTGCAAATGTAAGCAGTGGTTCCATGAGGCTTGTGTGCAATGCCTGCAAAAGCCCATGCTGTATGGTGACAGGTAAGATGTTTTTCTTTTGATCTTCTGTTGTGTGTTATATATCCCATTTGGGAAGGGCTGTATTTAGTCCTGTACTCATACATTCTCTATGTCTGTAACTGTGATACTCTGGACAAGATCTTTTTAATTTGCACATATTTTCATCTTTTATATTTTAAACTTTATGTCCTATGGCCGTGATGGTGAACCTATGGCACACATGCCGGAAGTGGCACGCAGAGCCATTTCCCCCGGCATGCAAGAGCTTGCCCAGAAGAGCTCCACTGCGCATTCACACGCCGCCACCCAACAGTTGATTGTCGGGTATCTGGTGCGGGGGGCGGGGATGCGCAGAGATGCAGAGCACGCGCTGGGGGGTCATGCGCGCATCCGCATGTGGATGGCACGGGATGATCGCGCACATAGGCGCAGACGCGCGACATCTGGTAAGAGGATCACAGGTGCAGATATGCGGCACACTGCCGGGGGATTGCACATGCATGTGCAGGGGTGGGTGGGCAGGCCCAGCACGGATTGCCTTCTGGGTGCTGGCGTGCAAGCGCATGAGTGCGCGCACAATTATCGGCACGGGAGCCAAAAAGTTTGCCACCACTGTCCTATGGTATACCTTTATTTTAATTGTGATGCTTCTGACACAAACCCTGATATTTACATTGCTGCATTAATAAATAAGTATGCTACTATTTTAGTGCATTGTGGGAATTATTCTATTTATGGTCTTCCCTGAGTCAAGTTTTATCATAGGAGTAAAACATTAAAAAAAATGATAGGAACAAAAATGATAGAAAAATGATAGGATTTTTCACTATTTGAAAACAATCTTTTATTCACCACTTGTTGATGTACTTTAACTGTGAACACAGATTTGTTTTTTGTAGTCTTAAATACCTTGTATTGAATTACTGTCAGTACAATTTAAAAGCAAATATGTTCATATACTGAATATGCCTTTTAAACTTTTTTTTTAAGGTTTTATACATTCATTTGTTCAGTTTGTAGTTCTGGACCAGAATACCTCAAACGTTTACCCTTGCAGTGGTAAGTACAACTTAAATTAATCTTGGGCAAAACAAATATTCAGCATCTCATTGCACATCTCTGTAAAGATAGTTTTGTGGCTCCATTTTTTGAATTGACTTTGCACAAGTAATTAGAATATGGATATATTACTTTTGTTATCCTCTTCCCCTCTGGTTTCAATTGAGAAAATGAAAAACAAAATATTTAGAAAGCAGGATTTTTAGTGAAATAGACCTGCTGATTGTCAGCAGGTTATAGTTGTGCCTGTCACAGTATGGGACAACTTGCTGTGGCTGACTTGCCCTGGCCATCGCGCCACAGTTGTCTCACCGTGGGACAACTCGCTGCAGGACAATTCAACACAAGATAACTCAAGAGAGAACTTACCCCAGCCTCGAGGACTTCTAACCTGAGAAGCTTCAAAGTAAAGCAAGGCAAGGCACACTGCAATTCACTTATCCCTCTCTTGAGTTATTCCACATTGAATTGTCCTGCAGCGAGTTGGTCAGGGCGAGTTGGCTAGGGCGGGTCAGCGGCAGTGAGTTGTCCTAGACCCGTGATGGTGAACCTATGGCAGGCGTGCCAGAAGTGACACGTAGAGCCCTCTTTGTGAGCACACGTGCCGTCACCAGCTGCTCTTCTGGTTTCTGGTGTGCACATGTGTGCCAGCCAGCTGGTCTCCACGGGTGCCAGAGCACCAGAAAAAGGCCTCCAAAAATCCAAAAAAAACCAAGCCATTTTTCGGGCCTTTGGGGGGCTGTTTTCAGGGCCATTTTCAGGCTGTTTTTGGCCTGAAAAAGGACCAAAAAACAGCCTGAAAATGGCCAAAAAAATCAGCCAAAAACAGACATGCAAGCTGTCTTCAGGTTTCCAGTGCTCCAGCACGTGTGCGTGCACACGCATGCACATGTGTTCCGGTTTGGGCACTCTGTGCCGAAAAGGTTTGCCATCTCTGTCCTAGACTCTGTCATCCAGCTCCTTGCCTAACCTATGGTCACAAGCCACAGTCATCCCCATCTTCAAAAAGGGAGACCCAAGCCTAGTTGAAAATTACAGACCAATCTCCTTATGCTGCGTCACCTGTAAAGTCATGGAATCAATTATTAACCAATCCATCATCCTCCACTTAGGGACAAACAACCTACTCTCTAATAAACAATTTGGTTTCAGAAAAAAACTATCCTGTAATCTGCAACTCTTACACTGCAAAAACATATGGACGACACAACTCGACCAGGGCAAAGCAATAGACGCAATCTACATAGACTTCTGTAAAGCCTTTGATTCAGTGGTACACGACAAACTACTCCTAAAAAACAACAAATGGTCAAAATTGGGAGCGTCCTATCAAATTCTGTACCTGTCAATAGTGGTGTCCCCCAAGGCAGTGTTCTAGGACCAACTCTCTTCATACTCTACATAAATGACCTCTGTGATCATATTAAGAGCAATTGCGTTCTTTTTGCTGATGATGTAAAGCTGTTCAATACCACAGACAATACTGCTACCCTACAAAAAGATCTTGACTATGTATCAGAATGGTCCAACAAATGGCAACTTCAAATCTCAACAAATAAATGCTCTGTCTTACATATTGGCAAAAAAAACCAGAAAATAAAATACAAGCTGAATAGTCAAGATCTTGTTGATGACCCAAGCTCTGTAAAGGACCTTGGAATACTCACCTCTAATGATCTAAGTGCTAGAGCCCACTGCAACTACATAGCCAAAAAGGCATTAAGAGTTGTTAACCTAATCCTACGTAGCTTTTTCTCTGGTAATATCACACTACTAACTAGAGCATACAAAACATTTGCTAGACCAATACTTGAATACAGTTCATCAGTCTGGAATTGTGATATTAGCACAATTGAGAAAGTCCAGAAATATTTCACAAGAAGAGTTCTCCACTCCTCTACTCGTTGTAGAATACCTTATGCCACCAGACTTGAAATTCTAGAACTAGAAAACCTTGAATTACGCCGTCTTCGGTCTGACTTAAGCATGGTATATAAAATCATACATTGCAATGTCCTACCTGTCAATGAATACTTCAGCTTCAACCATAACAACACAAGAGCAAACAATAGATACAAACTCAAAGTTAACCGCACCAAACTTGATTGCAGGAAATACGACTTCAGCAATAGAGTGGTCAATGTCTGGAATACTCTACCCGACTCTGTAGTTTCTTCCCCAAACCCCAAAAACTTTAACCTTAGACTGTCTACTATTGACCTCACCCCTTTCCTAAGAGGTCTATAGGGGGCGTGCATAAGCGCACCAACGTGCCTACCGTCCCTGTCCTATTGTTTCTCTTATTCTTTTATTTTTCTTATATGTACCCATTTCATGTATTCACAACTATGTATACACTTATACTTATTATCTTGTAAACAATTGGCAAATCAAATAAATAAATAAATAAAATAAATCTAGACCAGCGGTCACCAAACGGTGGGCCGCAGAGAAATGTTACCCCCAGAGCACCCCCAGAGCAATCCAGGCTGTGCAGAAACACAAGGCAGGAACCCTCCCTGCCCACTCACTCTACCTGGCAAACTTGCCTGCTAAATTGCTATTTTTCCTTTTTTTTTTCCTGGCCATCAGCTGTTCTGCTGTGCCAGGAGATTTAGATTAGCTAGGAAGCAGGAAATGGTTGGATTTCTTGCTTTCTAGCTAATTTTTAGATCTTCGGCTCTGCTTTTAAGCACAGCCAAACCTCCCTTAGGACTGAAGGCTCTATTATTCAGTGCAGACTCATGGCAAGCAAATTTTATGTGACAGACTCAGGCAGCCAATGGCAGGTAGATAGATCACTGAATGATTCTGTGAGCAACTCAATCTGCCTGCCTGCTTTGCCTGATTTGGGTAAAAGTTGCTATTTTTTATTTTAAAAAAATCTATTTAAATACATAATGTGTTGTGAGTTAATTTTATGAGTTTGCTTGCAAGCGAATTTTATGTGACTGAGCTAGCTGATGGCAGATAGATAGATCTCTGAATGAATCTGTGATTCTGTGAGCAACTCAATCTGCCTGCCTGCTTTGCCTGATTTTGGGTAAAAGTTGCTCTTTTTTTATAAAAAAATCAATATTTATATAAATATTTATAATATTTACATACAAGCCATGCCCAGCCAGTCACATGACCACCAAGCCACACCCACAAATTAGGCCACGCCCACCGGACCAGTTAGTGGTTCCTGGGATTTAAAATTATGAGCTTGGTGGTCCCTGAGGTCCAAAAAGTTGGTGACCCCTGATCTAGAGAGTTAATGTTCTCATATCTAAAATGTTAAAACTTACTACTTGTTATTTAAACTTCTGAATTCTAGGGTAGATATAGCACATCTATGCCTTTACAACCTAAGTGTTATTCATAAAAAGAAATACTTTGATTCAGAACTTGAACTCATGACATACATTAATGAAAATTGGGATCGACTCCATCCTGGTGAAGTAAGTTTTTGAAATATTGACGTTGTTTGTGTGTTTCTATAGTTCAAAAGATCAAACAGCTAAACTGTGTATAGATATTTTAACAATTGTTCAATCTATAGTAAAACTACTAGGTGTAAAATTTGTTTTCCTAGTTAATGTTTAGTTGCTTGTAAACTCTTTTTGAGATTATTTCTTTTGAGTGTTTCATTTGTATTAAAAAAAATCTTAAGATTTGAAAGTTAATGTCAGATGCAAAAGATCAGGTCTGCACATGAAGGTCCAATTAAACATTTATTGCTACTTATGCTATGCACAGGAATCTTCTCAACTAATGGTTAGCATTTGCTTGGGCCACATAGGGATTCTAGACTGATCCCTCTTTTGATTGTGCCCCAGATTTTGCCACTCCTCCTACAGTTACACATAATCCACATACTTTGGCTACCTTATATGGTCTTGTGGCTGATAGAAGTTTGAATTTGAAAGCAACTTTATTTTTGTTAAATATATTTTTTTCAATAAAAATGTTTATACATGTAGTCTTTACAATATGTTACTTCAAAGTTACAATGGATCTCCCCAGAAAAATTTTATGATGCCATTTTGAAATTCCAGTGGCTACACCCCCAATCATGCGATGACATTTTGGGCGCTTGGAAGCCATCCTGCATTTGCAGCCATTTGCAGCATCCAGTGGTCATTTCCTCAACAAATTCTTCTATTAAAATATTTATTTTATCATACACAGAATGTAGATTTCTCACATTTTACCAAAAAAATAAGTATTTGTATTTCATATAAATATAATATACCCATAAACACAAGTGATGCTTAGCAGTTCAAATAGATACCGAACACTTTATTCAATGCCTTGTTCATAGAATAATGAAGATAACTTAACTTCTCTTATCCCTCTTGTTTATTAATATGCTACAGTAGATATTTTAGAATTTTGCCCTGTTACATAAGAAATTCTAGAATGCTGCTGTGTTTTATATCTCTTTGAACTGTTAAGTTATTAGTGCTTATGGATGTTGCTGCACATTTCAGTAGATTAAATCACTTCTTGATACTTTACAGCTGGCAGACACACCAAAATCTGAAAGATATGAACATGTTCTAGAGGCATTAAATGATTACAAGACCATGTAAGTTGATAAGGGTTTTATACAATTTTCTCTTTTATTTCCTTTAGTTTAATCAGCTAATAGTCTAAAGTTTTTTGAAGTATTATCTAAAACCGTGTGGCTGCAACAGAATGTATTATTGTTTGTCTAAATGTTTAGGTCAGATTTTATTTCTGAGTAGAAGTTATATGAAGGTTTACTTACGTTTTTCCCAATGTTGGCATTTGAACAGACTGAGTAGTGCCATACGTTTATTAATAAATGGAACTGCATATCTAAAGAAATGAGTTTTGTCTTCACGTTCTGCATTTAATATCTTGAAATGCAGGTTTATGTCTGGGAAGGAAATAAAGAAGAAAAAACATTTGTTTGGCTTAAGAATTCGTGTTCCTCCTTGCCCACCAAATACTGCTTTTAAGGCTGAGAAAGAACCTGAGGGAACTTCCCATGAGTTCAAAATTAAAGGCAGAAAATCATCTAAGCCTGTGCCTGATCAGAGGTAAACAGACTAGAATAAAGTGACAGACAGAAGCGGAAAGAATTGTATGTAGATTCCAAACAAAGGCTAACTAGAAATAAGCAGAGTCCTAAAGGCTAGGGAGTCAAAGGTTGATCATGTTAGGCCAGGTTGAGCCTGTGCAATTAGAGTAGCATCAAGAACCAATTTGGTCTAGTAGTTAAGGCACCAGGTTAGAAACCAGGAGACTTAGTTCTAGTCCTGCTTTAGCCATGAAAGCTAGCCGGGTGACTTTGGGCCAGTTACTCTCTTAGCCCAATTCACCTCATATGGCTGTTGTTATGAGGAAAATAGCAGAAAGGAGTATTATTTATGTCTGCAACCTTATTAAAAAAATAAGAAAACAAGAAATAATTAGAACATGTAATTCTAACAGCTATTGCTACTTTTGTCCTTACATACAGTACCATAAAAGTGCTCGATCCAAGTAGGTACTATATCCAAGTAATGGTACAAAATATATAATATATCTATCCAGATCAAGTTGGTAGTTGGCAAATACAAGCTATGTGTGATCTTAATACAGAATTGGCCAAGAGTTAAATGAGTACTTTTGTGCAGTAAACTCAAAACCTGTCTTTATGTTTGAGCAAAATGGCTTGCTAAGCTCAGATTAAAGTTTTGACTATCACCAAACGGAAGGAGTATACTCCATAGCTGGGTATCTTCTGTAATAGGAGTGTCAAGCTGGGTTTCTTTGAGGGCTGGATCAGCATTGTAGTTCTCTGCCGGCCGGCCAGGGGCGTGGGGAGTTGGGACGGGCGCTTCCTGCAGCACTTTGCCAGCCAAAACAGGGTGAGGGGAGCCTTTTTTGTCTTTGAAGAATTGCCATATTCAGGGAATACACTGCTTTGTTCCATTTCCTTTGGAATAGCACTACAGTCAGTCTGATCAATACTGTTGGCATTTTAGGAAAGTGTTTTAAGACCTGACTGTTTAGTACAATCTTTGGGGATTTGTGGTGTGGTAGATCATCTCTTTGCAGTTGGCTGTTGGTACAACCTGATATTTTTCCTCTCTGTAGTGACAGATTGGAAAAGTTTTGTGGTTGTAGTGCAGAAATATAAATTGAAAGTGGTTTTCTCTGCTGGTTCTAGTGGGGTGTAGTTTAATTGATATGTTTTTATATTTCACTTCTTGGAGATCTATTTTTTATGAATAGTCAAAAGATAAAGTATAGCTAAGACAATTGATAAAAGGGAATTTCAGAAGTGAAATTGTAAATACAGACCAATATTACTGTTTAAGATTAAAACTTTTTTCCAGGGAAGTCACTAATGGTGTAGAAAGAAAGGGGAAGAAAAAGTCTGTAGGTCGTCCCCCTGGCCCATATACTAGAAAAATGATTCAAAGAATGTCTGAGCCATCCATTTTGGTAAGTGGCATTCAGGTTTACTTTCTTAATAAAATAAGTATTTTATTAAAAAACTTTAACCTTAGACTGTCTACTATTGACCTCACCCCTTTCCTAAGAGGTCTGTAGGGGGCGTGCATAAGCGCACCAACGTGCCTACCGTCCCTGTCCTATTGTTTCTCTTATTCTTTTATTTTTCTTATATGTAACCATTTCATGTATTCACAACTATGTATACATTTATATTTATTATCTTGTAAACAATTGGCAAATCAAATAAATAAATAAATAAATAAATAAGTACTACTTTATTATTTCCTTAGTTAATAAAAATGAACACGGTAAACTGTCTTCATGTTTACAGTTAGAGAGTTGTATATTTACAGAATCTGAAAAAAAAAATCTACCTTATTCTTTTAGGAAAAAGAACCTGTTATAGTGCCAGAATCCCCTGTTTTGGATTCTCCTAGCACTACTGGGTATGTATGGGAAAATATTCATTCAGCTTTCTATTCAAACAATCAAAGCAAATACTCCCCCACCCCCCCGTGTATGTGTGATATAGATAGATAGAATATAGATATATAGATACACACACACACACACACACACATGCATCCTCTACATATGTGATGAAATGTAAGGTGTTTGCATTCCACTATGGTAAATAATGTTTTTGCTTCTAACAATGTGATGAAAGAGATGACAAAATAAAAAAGGGAAAGGAGACAATCAATATCCAGAAAATAAATTAGTGCCCTTTGATTAAAAAAAAACCAAAAACCTCTCATTCTGTAAATAAACATGGAGTTTTGTACTTTGGAACAGAAACAGATGCTTATGGTCTGTTCATACAGTACTGTATTTTCATTCTACAGCCACTGCTTTATTAGCTGCCTTGTTTAATGACTATTCACAATTACGATGGTGATGAAAAAAGTAACTTTACAACCGGTCCTCACTTTTATGACCTTTGCAGGTTTGTAAGCAAAGGAAAGCTGAAATAAGATTGTAAGCACAGTTGTGGTTTCACTTGGAAGGCCGCTTTGCTTCACAACCATTTTGCTGGTTCCAGTTGTAGTTGCTAAATGAGGATTACCTACCTAAAACTGGCCTTAAAAAAGATTGTATTGTGATATCCTTCCCTGTGCCTAATAAGGGGGGAGATCATTTCAATTTAAGAACTTGCTTTCATTTCAAGGTTCTGGTAATGAGATTTTAATCGGTATTTATCTTAAAACTAGAAAAACAATAATGCCACTTCTGACTAACTAAATCTGGTTTGGCCAGAATTTAATATTTGTCAATTTGTTTAATGCTAGGTTACATGAAATTTACTTTAATATATATGTCAATTTTTATTCTGTGACACCATGACATCATTCAGAAGATCTGATGGAACTGCACACTCATCCAATACCTCAGATGTGGAATCCACAGGTGCTGCCAGTACAAAAGAAACTACCTCAAACAGTATTTCCAAGCATTACAGGTGCAGTATACATAGATTGGTTGTGCTGTTTTTATTTAAAGATAATTTATACATTGAAGAAAGTGTGTTTCAGCTATACCAGGGGTGTCAAACTCAATTTAATTGAGGGCGGCATCAGGAGTGTGTTGGGGGGGGGGGGGGGGGGGGGTAAGCCTGGCCAGGGTGGGCATGGTCAGCTTGACATCACTTGTGTTGGGGGCATCTGTGGTGACCAGAGCACTCTGCCAGTGAAAACGGGCTCCCAAGGCCCGTTTTTGGCTGCGACGTCCTCCTGCAACCCTCTGCCAGCGAAAACAGCTTCACTTTCTTTTCTTTTTTTAAAAATAAATTTTATTAAGTTTCCAAATTTTAAAAAACATAAAACAAAACTTTATACATTGTTATCAACATCAAGACATCTTTTGCATTTCCTCACATTTTTCAGTATATGTATTTACTTATTCCTTTACCATTGCATCTTACTCTTACTATAAATCGGTATCTTTTATCCCTACATCTCAATCTTCTCCATGGTATATTTACATATTTACATATTCCCTCATTCTTTTCCTAATTGCCATTTTCTTTTCTTTTTATTTCTAAACCACTCATACCAGGCATCCTAGGTCCTATAATAAATTGAATCTTCTCTGTCTTTTATTTTCATCGTTAGCCTGTCCATCTCTATACAATCTATTATTTTTTTAATAACCATGCCTTCCGGTGGAACCCTTTTTTCCTTCCAGAGTTGTGCGTACGAAATCCTTGCAGCTGTTAATATATGTAACATAATATATCTATCTGTTTTATTGCATTTTTGTGTTATTATACCTAATAAAAAAGTTTCCAGATTAAATTCAGTTTTCTAATTCGTGATTTCTTCTATCCATTGTCTAATTATATTCCAATATTTTTTCACTTCCTGGCATGTCCACCAGATATGAAAATAAGTGCCTTTTTCTTTTCCACATTTCCAACAATTTGGGTCTGAGTTAAGCATTTTTTCCAATCTAGTGGGAGGAAAGTGCCATCTGTAGAACATTTTGTATTGATTTTCCTTGTATGCTGTGGATGTAATTACTTTGTAATTTGATCCCCACATTCTCTCCCAATTTTCCAGGTCTATATTATGGCCAACATTTTTCGCCCATACCACCATCGTCTCTTTGACCACCACCTCTTCCATTTTAAAATCTAGTAGAAAGTTATATATTCTTGAAATCATTTTCTTTTCCATTTTTTGTAGAATTTTATCTAATTGATGCTTTTCCATGCAGAAACCAAATTGTTCTTTGTCCTTCTGATATCTCGTCTGGATTTGCATGTATGGCCACCAATCTATCTTTATATTTTGTTGCTGTAATTCTTGTCTCGTTTTTAATCTTCCTTGTGTGTCTAATAGGTCTTTGTAACTCCTCTTTTTCCCCAGATCCATTGCATTTGGGTATATTTGTGCTTCCATAGTTAACAACCAGTTCGGTATTTTAGTATAATGGTTCTTTTTAATCTTGTTCCATGTCCGAATTAATGAATCTCTAATCGTGTCTCTCTGAAAATATGCATGCTGTTTACATTTCCCATTCCATAGGAAACTATGCCACCCTCTCTGCAAGTCGTGACCCTCTATTGGCAATACTCTTCTATTTTCCAGGTTGATCCAATATTTAATGCATACCATAGCTGCAGCCTGATAATACATTTCCCAGTCAGGGAGTCCAAAGCCACCCCTTTCTCTTTTGTCCTGTAATAATTTCATTTTTATCCTAGCTTTTTCCCCATCTCAAACAAATTTACTTATTATTCGATCTAATTCCCTAAAAAAAGGTTTTATCCAATCTTATTAGTACAGTTTGAAAAAGATATAGTATTTTTAGTAGGGTAGACATTTTAATTGCCGCAATTTTCCCCAGTAGTGATAGCTGTAATTTCCCCCACGTTTCCAATTCTTTTTTGATTTGTATTATTAATTTGTCATAGTTATCTTTTTTGATTGAAGAGCATCTTGCTGTTAACCAAATGCCTAAATATTTTACCTTTTTCACACTTTGCATTCCCGATTTTCCTTCTAATTCTTTTTTTTTTTTTGCTTATCTTTTAATTTTTTAGTCAATAATTTTGTTTTTATTAATCTTAAGGCCTGCGACCTTGCCAAATTCCTCTATTTCCTTTATTAATTTTACTCCCGTATCCTCTGGATCTTCCAGAAAAAATACTATATCATCAGCAAATGCCTGTACCTTATAATGCTCCTTTTTAATTAAGGTCCCTTTGATTTCTACATTTTTTCCTAATGTTTTCCAATAAATTTTCTAAGGTAAGAATAAAGAGAAGGGGTGACAGTGGGTATCCCTGCCTTACTCCCTTGTTGATCTTAAATGTTTCTGTTCTGTCACCATTCATTATTACACTGGCCGTCTGTGTCGTATAAATTGTTGAAATCAATTTAATAAATTTATTGCCAAATTGCATGCTTTTTAATTGTATTATGAACTGCCAATTAACATTGTCAAATGCCTTTTGCGCATCGAGGAAGACCATTGCCAATTGTTTTCCTGGGTTTTCTTCATAATATTCTATTCTATTCAATACCATTCTAGTATTATTTTTAATTTGTCTATTCGGTAAGAATCCGTTTTGGTCACTATAAATGATCTGATTAAGGTTTTTTTTTCAATCTTTCTGCCATTATGGACATAAATATTTTATAATCAACATTTAAAAGGGATGTGGGCCTGTAATTTTGAATTAATTGATAGTCTGAATCTTTTTTTGGGATCAATGTTATGTATGTCTCCCCCATGACTTAGGTAATTTTGCTGTCGTCAGTATAGAGTTCTAATAATTGCATTTCTAATTTTCCTTGGAGCGTTTGATACAGTTCCCCAGGGAGACCATCCGGTCTTATTGTTTTTCTGTTTCAGGATTGCCTCTTGCAGTTCTCTTAATGTTAGTTCCCTGTTTATCTCTTCTTTATCCTCTTCCGGGATTACAAGTAGCCCTTTTCCTTCTAAGTAATGTTGGATATTTCCCTCTGGTACATCTTCCCTACTATATAATTCCTCAAAAAAAAAACTTTTAACAATATGTTTTTTCTTTTCTTTTCGTTTGATGTTGTAGCGTACCATCAACGTCCTTCAATTGTTGGATTGCTCTTTTTTCTTTTTCTTTCTTAAGTCTATAGGCTAGCCACCTTCCTGGCTTATTCGTGTGTTCAGAATAATTCTGTTTTATCTTTTTCATGTCCTGTAACCATCTTGTGCTAACATATTCAATTTATGTCTAATCATTATCCTTTCCGTATTTGCTGTCTTATTATGTGGTGTGTTTTCTAACTCCTTAAGAGTATCTAATAGTTTAGATTGTTCTCCTTTTTTTCCCTTATATCTACGTGTATTATATGAAATTGCTAGGCCCCTGATATATGCTTTTGTCATGTCCCATAGGTTTGGAATTGATGTTTGTTGTTTTTTGTTTTCCTTCAGAAAGAACTCCAATTCTTTTTCCATCATCTTAACACATTCTTTTTCTTTTAGGATCTCCTTGTTTAGCATCCATCTTCTGGTTTTTTTTTCCGATCCTTTCCAAATTATTTTAATGGGATTATGGTCCGCCCATATGTTAGATTCAATTTCTATTTCTTTTATATTACGTTCCATTTCCCCATTTGTCCATAACATATCCAATCTTGACCATGATGTGTGAGGTGCTGAATAGTAAGTATACTGTTTTTTGTCTGGATTTCTTTCTCTCCATATATCTTTTATTCCTAATTCTTCCGCCATTTGATAAAATACTTTTGGTAATGTTTTCCTTTTCCTTTTTTCCCCTAGATTTTTGTTATTGTAGTATTTTCCTAAATTTGCTATTGCATTGAAATCACCTAGCAGGCATATGTTCTCATATTCCTGGAAAACAGCTTCATTTTCACTGGTAGAGGCATCACGGGCCGGTCCTTCACTGTTTCCAGGGCAGCCCCGCAGGCCAGATCTAAGTACCCCACGGGTTGGATCCAGCCCCCGGGCCTTGAGTTTGATACCCCTGATCTATACCATCTTGAGCTGTTAACATAAGACTATTTCATTTCACATATGACTTTTAAATATTTGAATAGTTTTAAATTTCTGCAATATGCTGACTTGCTAATAACAAAAATTGTGTAGTGGGAGTGTGTGTTTAAATAAGTTTAAACAAATTACAGTCATGAGGTTCTTTATGATAAAATTGCCAATGTTTTTCAGTAGCATCTCCAAAAGTAAGACCATAGAGTGTGCGCTGTATCTGCCAGAGCAGATTTGGTTAGTTAGCTAGAGCTTCCAATTTGTCAAAGAAGATTGAGACTCCCCCCCCACCTTTTACTTCCTTCCATAGAAGTAGTGTAGTAACTGCAAATTATATAATTTCCCGGTTATAGAGATTTTATAACTGGTTCCATTTATGAGATGCACTGGAAGAAGATTCATGTTCTTGGCAAACTTACAAGGAATCTTCTTTTCCTTATTTTAGAAATGCTTGACAAATTTAGGAGCAAAAATCAGTTTTAAAATAGACCGGCTAAATTAGTAAATTATGCATTGATACACTCTTGGTTCCAGTAACGTGGCTGAATGTGTCATGTCTTAAGTAACATAGTTCGCTGTACAGTAGAATTATCTTAACAGAAAGCAAGAATTAGGTTAGTTCCTATCAGGTGTAGTGCAAATATAAAACAAAAGCTCTGGAAAAATTATTCAAGAGTTTATATAGTGTTGTAAAAGATAAAACTTACATAAAACGTCCATATGAAACATAGTCCCCTACATCCTGAGAGCTAAATTGTCTCTAACAATCCATGAACAAAATGTGGCCACAAATCCCACTAAAATCATACTGCTAGTTTAAGTTTTGTCTCCATTTGATTCAGCATTAATTGAACTTTCCTTTGCTGTATCTAACAAGACATTAAGAGTACAGTAAATTTTGTTGTGATATTACATATTCTAAATTTTTAATTAATATTTTATATGCTCTGCAGTTTATCCGATTCTAGAAAAAGAACACGAACAGGAAGAACTTGGCCATCCACAATACCCCACTTAAGGAGAAGAGGACGTCTTCCACGAAAAGCACTCCAGATTCAGAACCCAGAAATTGTAAAAGAAGATGAAGGCAAAGATGACTATCAATATGAGGAACTGAATACAGAGATTCTGAATAATTTTCCAGATCCACAGTTGCAGTTTAATCATCTCACGAACTCTATTACCAGTTACTTTGGTGCTGCAGGTAGGATAGCTTGTGGTGAAAAATACCGTGTTTTGGCACGTCGGGTTACACTTGAGGGAGAAGTTCAGTATCTTATGGAATGGGAAGGAGCAACTGCTTCCTGACTATAATGCTGAATATTATTTCCTGCACTGCCCTTTTATCTATTTATAGGCAGAGTTTATACATTGGAGTGCAGAAGGGAACCTAAACGGATATTTGTAAAACTGAAAAACCAAGTTAGCCTTAACACTTCTTGAACAGAACAATTTTTTTTCACATAAGAGGCCTATCGATTAAAATAATAAGGCTAGATTCTTAACGTGTTTAAAACGAGGATCTAGACTGTGTTGCGTTGGAAATCTGGGATTTCATTTGCTTTAAAATATTCACAAGTCAAAAAAAAAAAAGCCTTGTCTCTAGTGTACATTCCATGGATGTGTTTTTGTGAGTAGGGACTATTTTCTGTAAGTAGGACAAATTTTGAAAAAGATACTTTATCTTTTCTTATCCAGAAGTTTGCAAGACTATTTCTACTTTGTCAACCCTAGATTTTCATACGGTGCAGTGTATATACTTCCTGCTGAGGATTGTAAAATATTAAAATCTTTCAAGCAAAGTGTATAAAATATATATTGAGCTTGTAAATTGCTCTGTGACTAGACTTTGTTGTCTTTTTAATATATTCTTTGCATGTGTATATATACACATATGTGTGCATGTGTATATATGTGTGATTGTGACCTATGCAATATAAATTATGGGATTGGCAGCTTTTGACTATATATCCCATAATGTCTTTTATCAGGAATAGTTGCAGTATTTACACAGCAGCATTTCTTCTCAGGCTATATTGGGTGCTGTTGTTTGCCACATACTATAGAATATGTGTCAAATGAGTGCTGGGTATTCTGGCAGTAAGTGCAGTCATTAATGTCATAATGCTTTTAGAAAATAATTCAGGCTGCAGTTCTACACATGGCAGCCCAGTGATTTTGGAGTGCCTCTCAGGTTCACATTATCCCTCTCCTGCACAAATACCCACTCCTTTTGAAAAATGGATATCAATTACATCAAACCTAAAGCCAAGGCTTATTATAGTTGCCTCTAATTAAATCAGTTCTAAGCAAAGGGGGAGAAATTAAAAGTACATGCTCTAGTTTTTCTTGTTAAAGATACCTGGAATCAGTGCAGCTACACCAGGCCAGGTTTTTGAGGTTGCAGTTCTCAACTCATTTACATTCAAATCAGAAAAATGTCTAAACATGTATAGTATTGCACTGTACAATTCCTTGAAACAGTCTGGCTGTGCACAACCTTGCAGCATCAGTTTATGTTGGCGCGGGGAACCCTAGTTGGTTGAGGCACAGACTTGAACATTTGAGCATGAGCTCTGTGTAAAAAAAAAAAAGAATTCTAATAATTTGTGACAAGTTGATTGTAAAATCATTTTCAGTTGCTAAAAAACAAAAGTCAGCAGGACTCACATTAATAATCCTGTTGGGTGTGATGATAAGTATAGTTGGAAGAAAAGGTTTAATTAGGGTTACATATGTTGCCATTTGAAGTAACAGTACTGATTTTATGACAAAATTGCCTCTTGTTATTAAAAATGAATCAAATTTAAATGGGTAACTTTATTTTACTTGTAAAATAAGTTTTTTTTTTACTGGGGTCAAGGAGGATTTAGGTGGATAAAGTCGCCAACGACTAGTGGAGTAAAATCGCAGGGACTCCTTTACCTTAGTGGCTTTCCTTTACCTGAGTTTTTGATTATTATTTTTAACCAAAGAGTAAATATTTTTACTTTGAAGTTTCTTCCCTTAATTTAGAGACAGTCTATTAGACATGGGTTGCTAACAAAAAAAATTGTCACACAAAAATTAAATAACAATTGGGGAAATAGTTGTCCAATGAAATACTGCTCTGCTCTTACTTACATGATTTGAAGAACAAATATACTGTTAAGATTATCAAGGAAAACATCACCTTTCACATAACCAAAGGAAGAATAGATAAAATGCATTGCCTGGTGCTTGTGGTTTTTCAGAAAATTTAATTGAACAAAGGTGGAAATTAAAATTTACTTCCGCTTGCCTTCACTAAAAATGTGGTGGGTTTTTTCCATTTACTCAATCTCAGCTATTAAGTTGCCTTGCCTATAGCTACAATATTTTCATAAGAACAGGTTACTTTTAAAATGTTGGTCTTTTGAAATAATGCAAAATGTAGTTTTGTTGTAATTCACAACCAGTTTTTAAAATTTCTTTTTCTGCAATTTTTGTAATTCACATTAAACACCAGCAGTATTTGCAGTAGGGCTTCCATGCAAGATCACTATTGGAATCTGGTAGGGGAGAGAATGTGATAAACTATCGGTTGAATTGTGAATGTGTGTTTTCATTTTGTCATGGTGGTTGACATGTTTGTATTGCTGGAACTGTTTTCTAGAATTCAAACTCAACATTAAATGTGTGTATTTTTAAGAACCTGTTTCTTCTTGCATTTGTTAAACATGCAAAAACAAAAGCTCAGCTCTCGTTTTAAGTTTCTTAAAATAAATTCTGTAGATATTTTCAGTAAATGATGGTAAAGTTAAGCTTGTATGCAATTTTTTTAGGATTGTACCGACAATATATACTTATTCCCAAATGTGTTGCTGCTGTTACTACTAAAGTCCTGTCGGAAGTGCCGGAGTGTTTCCAGGTTGAAAGGATTACACAGTGATATCACTGTTGCCTGGAGGATGCCCAGTTGGGGGTTCCTTTTACACTCCCATTAAGTTACCCACCAAAGTGGTACCCATTTATCCACTTAGAGTTGCCTGCTTTTGAATTGCTGGATCAGCAGAAGCTGGAGCATGTGAGGGAGCTTATCCCACCCCATGGTAGCAGCCTGGTCCTGAACGCGAGCCTGCCTATTATCAGCCCAGCATCCTATGCTCATGAGCCACTGTACTCATCCCAAATTGACTGCATCAGTGTTACTTCTTTTTACATAGTAGTGAAATGATAGTCCAGTGCTAGATATTTTAAGACAGTCTAAAAAATTATGTGGGGACAAAAATAATTTGAAAAAACAATCTTAATTAGTAAATGATAGAACATTTTAGATCCACTTTGGATTGATAAAAGTTAGCATGTCTACTTTAGAAACATTTTAGCTTATTATTGAAATCTATCCTGCCAGGTCTCTGTAATGGTAAACGGAAATGACCCTTGGAGAATGAAGGGTTGCAGTCAGGGAATAGTCAGGTAAAAAAGACAATTGAGACTGTAGTACTATGAGCAGGGCAAGCTCAGAAGAGAGCCTTCCTAGTTTCTTGGGCTGTAAAGGAAGACTGGAAAAGATGTATGTTCAGATTTGCAAGTTTATGTTAATTTAAGCATACAATAAAATAGAATTCGCTCATCTGATATATCTTGAGTGGCTGACAGTTTCATTATTTAAATAGGCTTAAGGACTGTTGGGTCCACCTTTTGGTCTCCAGAATGGTACCTTATGGTACCCCAACCTTATGGTTAAGTACAAGTACTCCTCACTTACTGATTGCAATTAGGATTGGCAACTCTGTTGCTAAGCAACATGGTCATAAAGTGAATTGCCACTGAACATAGTAGCTCTGGCTGCGATTGTTAAGTGCAGTATTTCATAGACTTGCAAATTCCTGTTGGAAATTACATTTTCGGGGTCTTCAGAGTATTTATGGGACATAAGCATTCAGGCATATTAGTGTCTAGGGTCAAGTTTTACTCTGCTTTTTTTTTTTTTTAGTCTATGACAGTACTGTATATTTTAATAAATTTTTAAAATGTGCTGTACTTTAAATAATATAAAAAAGTTGCCCCCAAGGTGCAAAGATCTTTGAATGTTTCCTTCTATTTTCCTCTGTCATGTTCAATGTTAAGAGACTCTTATCTTGTTCTTGTAAGAGAGAACAAAAGAGCACAGATGGGAGAAACACGAGAGAAAGGGCTACGAGGGGATATCTTTTCCTACATTCCTACACTGCCTCGGGAAGGACCTGCACCCCAAGCATGTAAATGGGAGAATCACAGAAATAAAATGCACAATAGATTTAATATTCCTTTATTGGTTTTTTCTCACAATTACTTTGGCGCCTCAATAAAAATCTATATTTTGTTTGCAGAATGTTTATTCCTGAGCTCTGTTAAATTGTATCATACAAAACATAGACAAAGTAAACTTATCAAAACAACTCAGTTAAGCAATGTTTATGGGTTTAAGGTTGTTGCAACCTTAACACTGCAAAGGACAGTGAGCAAGTTGTAGCTAAATATAGAGGTAGAAAGCTAGTCACAGCTTTGTTTTGTACAAAATGTTATATAATACCTTTACCAGTGCTATAGCTATTAACAGCCATTTTTTTTCCTGAATTCAAAGACCATTGGAAGTACCATGTTTGTTTCAACTGCAAGATTAATATGGAAATAAAATTCAGTTTTCCTCACTTGCATATATGTTTAATAGGTATATATAATGCTTGCATTTTGTTCCTTAAATAATCATTTCTAACATTTATTTGCCCATAGTAGTAGTATGTAGATAAAAATATGAAGTTTTCATGAAATTTGCTATAGCATCAAGACACTTGGGTATAGGTGCCCATGCTCACCAAAATCTAATTATTAATAGATAAACCTGTTGTATGAATGGAAGATTAAATAGTGGAAACATCCATTAAGGCTGTACTGTTTTTCATCAACGGATATGCTTTTGTTTATATAAAAGAAAACCATTTAATTATGAGACAACCTCACAGGATTCTAGAATGTTTCTCAACTCTGATTTAGTCCTCGGCTGTTTCAATTTACCGGATATATTAATGGAATCATTAAACAATGATCTATGGGATATATTGATCATGTGAGTTCAAGTATTATATACATTTTTTTTTCCAAAAATTGTATGGCCTGTTACCCAATATATCATAAAGTTCAAGAATAATTTAAGTATTCAAATTGGTAGAATTACTGATACTGAGTTTATGTCTTGCATTCAAATTAGCACTGGGCAGAATACTAATACACAAAGCAATTTGGTAAGCATATACAGGTATTGCTTGACTTACAAGAGTTTGTTTAGTGACCACTTTTCAGTGGCA